CCAACTGCCCCCCGCTGCCTGCTGTTCAGTCGTTTGGTCGTCCCTCACTAACCCCATGCCAACCTTGTCACCCCACGCAGCCCGCGGTTGGGTTCTCCATCTAGTTGTTTCGGTTGTGACAGCCCCAGGCTTTTTATATAGTAGGATTACGCTTTAATTGGTTGAACAGTCTACCAGTCACTGGACAACCAGACACTTAGCATATAAGGCTTTTATTAAACTTCATGGAGCAAAACAATCATTGATTGTGCTCTCAGGCTCTGTGGAGCAGGCATTAAGACTGGGCGCAGCATCACAGCACATGCCAGTTGCATGATGTGTGAGGCTACAATTACAAGACTTACAGGGAGGGGTCTGAAATCATCTACTACAGTCACACACAGGTTGCCCCTCTATGTGGTTAGTTTGGACTGCCTTAGAGCATGGTGTCTAGGTTCAAGGATGCCTGTTCCAAAGGAGAAAGTGAGAGAGCGAGGGAGTCTGAGTGGTGGGCAGAATGACCATTTAAGGCCTAGCCTCAGAAGCCAAGCAGTGTTACTTCCACTGCATCCTGTTGGATCAGCCACAAACTCCCGCTCAGATTCAAGAGGGAACACAGACCCCATCAACTCAGTGGAAGTGTTACCAGAAAGGGGACCTGGCCTAAGGGTCTGCCTAGAGTCAGCCAGTAGTGTGTGGTTTCTTAACTTCATGATGGAAACGTTTCAGGAGTCCAGGTGAATTTTAGAGGATGTTTATTAAAGATGGGGACAAGGAAGGGCTTAGGATAGTACTGGGTGGGGAAATGAGCCTAGGCTGGGTTGCTTTAGCTCTCTAAAAAGTCAGAGAGAAGGAGGCCTTGGAGACAGGTTCAGGGGGGTTTGCTTGGGATGAAATGCCACTACCCCTCACTGACGTGGTTGCAAGCCTTGTGGGGTCACTTAGTGATACAGAATAGTAAGCAGCTAGGAAAATTCCAGGACAAGTGGAATAGGAGAAACTAAGACAGATAGTAGTTAAATAGCAGTTTACAGCCACCGAGTAAATCCTATCTTCCCTAAACCAAAGACACTTCTCCCCAACCAGAGAATAAATAGCTTAAGTCACCCTACTCAGGGAGACAGATAACAGAAATCCAACTAGTGCCATTTGCAAGTCACACCCAAGGACAGATAAATTAAGAGAAACTCATTTTGGTATGTCAGCATAAAGCTGATGAATATTCTATTGATCCACCCCTAACACCTCCCCTAAACGCCCAACCCTTAACTCCTGAAAATTAAGGTCCCTGTGTGCTCCCCCTCCCCACCCCTTATGCCCTGCCACGTATGCCCAAACATCTAAGGGAGCCCATGAGACTTACAGCCAGGGATGCAATGGGCAGCAGCAGCTCAGTTCCAGGGTGCTCTCCCTCCTGGGATCATGCCTGTGCCATTCCCTTCCCCTCTCTTTCCCCCACAGGCATGTATCCCCTAACCTCTAAGGGACCTCATGACATTTACAACCAGGGGAGCAGTGGGCAGCAACAGCTTGTCCTGGGCTAACCCCTGAACCTGTCTCCAAGGCCCCCTTTTCTCTGACTTCCCAGTGAGCCAAAGCAGCCCAGCCCAGGCTCTCCTGTTGCTTCTTTATGCCCTTCCACTGTCCTAAGCGTGTTTCTGCTTCGGTCAATAAATTCTTGCTTGCTTCTCTATATTTTGTCTCTTGATTGAAATCTTTCCTTCAAGGAGACAAGAACTGAGGTCTGGTTGAGTTTAGGAGATGCATGCCTGTAGGGGAAGAAGGGAGTGGGGGAGTGGACCTTTATTTTTGAGGGGTTTTAAAGGCATTTAGGGGAGGATCTCAATAGAAAACTCATCAGCTTTATGCTGATGTACCAAAATGAGACTTAGTCTCAACTCCATCTGTCCTTGGGTGTGGTTGGCAATGGCCCCTAATTTGGATTCCTGCCGTCTCCGTGAGTAGGGTGGTTTAAGCTATTTTCCCTCGGGGGGGGGGGGAGGGGATGAGAAATGTAAACCATTTACTCTTAGTGTCCCTGGTTTAGGGAAGATAGAAATTACTAGATGGCTGCAAACTGCTGTTTAACTATCTGTTTCAGTTTCCCTATTGGGTGTATCCTGGCTTACTAGCCTGTCTCAGAAGGAATGTCAAAGTCACAGTGAAAAAAAAGCACGTGGAATGGAAGATGTTGCTGTGTTTTCCATTTAGGAAAACATAAAGTGCCATAAGTGACCAAAGCAATTTTGGGGGGAAAAGAACAAAGGTCAAAGAATTTCAAGACTTACAAAGCTACCATATTTGACAGTGTAAAACTGACCTAAGGATACACATATAGTCATTTGATTTTTGAAACATGGCACCAAGGTAATTAAATGGGTAATGAAACTCTTCAGCAAATTGTATTAGAACTATTAGGTGTCTGTAAAATCAAAACCTTTGACCCTTACCTTAGCTATCATACACAAAATACAATTCAAGAATTAATTCACGATGGATCCCAATTCCCCAGATCTAAAGTATGGATGTTTGAAGAATTGGGCTATGGCCTCACAAGTAGTTAAGTGAAAAACTTTTTTCTAACATAAGAAAACATTACTGCTGCTCGGCCAGCATTGCTCAGTGGTTGAGTTTCGACTTATTAACCAGGAGATCGTCGTTCGATTCCACGCCAGGGCGCATGCCCGGGATTCAGGCTTGATTGTCAGTATGGGAGCATGCAGGAGGCAGCCAATCAATGATTCTCTTTCATCATTGATGTTTCTCTCTCCATCTCTGAAAGCAATAAAAATATATTTAAAGAAATAAGGAAGAAGACATTACTGTTATGCTGAAAAAACTCTTGCCCTTTGTTAAATAAAACTGAAAGTAAAAGTGAGTTTTGAGTTTTGCTTTCATGTAATTTTACCAAGCCCCTTAGCTCAAAAGGGGCTCCAGTCAAAAGGGGGATCAAATTAGAGCCATTTAGTTCACACAACTTCAGTCATTCAACAAACACTGCTAAGCACTGGGGCAAATCAATGATCACAGTGTTACGTGATTATCACTATGATAAAAATTGAAATTCATGATGTAAACCTCAAAATTTCTGGCAATAATTTCCTAGGTGCAAATACTTGATCAAACTACACATTTGAAGTAAGGGCAGACTGCTCTGCAGGAAAATAATTAGATTGTGCATTGCAATCCCTTAGTCATCTATATTCAGTGGTGTGTTTATAAATGTTTAACAAACAGTTTGGGGGGAGGGCTGATTTGCAGTGTGTGCCCATTTACTTGGTGTATTCACTCACTGTGAGTGTGACATCACTGAATTGTGACATCACTGAACACAGTTTGGGAAGAGATACAGTAGTGCACCATACTGCCATTTCCATCACATAGATACAATAAATGTAAATAGCCTTAAGAGCATAAATAACTAAAACATGGCAAATAATAAAGTGATAAGTTTTGACTATTTTCACTGTCTTTGTTTTAACATCATTTAGGTAATTTTTAAAATTGGTTTCAGAGAGGAAGGGAGAGGGAGAGAGAGATAGAAACAATGATGGGAGAGACTTATTGATCGGCTGCCTCCTGCACACCCCCCACTGGTGATCGCACCTGCAACCTAGGCAAGTGCCCTTGACCGGAATTGAACTGGGGACCCTTCAGTCCACAGGTAGACACTCTATCCACTGAGCCACACCAGCCAGGGCATAATTTATGTAATTTTAAGTTTATATAATTGAGTTTTAAAATTTTATTTTTAGCCTGGATGGTGTGGCTCAGTGGTTGCACATTGACCTATGAACCAGGAGGTCACAGTTCGATTCCCAGTCAGGACACATGCCAGGGTTGTGGGCTAGATCCCCAGTGTGGGGCATGCAGGAGGCAGCCAATCAATGATTCTCTCTCAGCATTGATGTTTCTATCTCTCCTTCTCCCTTCCTCTCTGAAATCAATAAAAATATATTTTTATATTTGTTTAAAGTATTACAGATGCTGCGTCCATGGGTTATGCATAGAAATTCTTTGATTAATCTCTTTCCACCCACTCCGACCCCCTTTCCCTGAGACTGTCAATCTGTTCCATGGCTCTGTTACTACTTGAATCTTGTAAGCAAGTACTGAATTGACTATGACTATGAAGTATTCAAAGTAGGGCAAGAGCATGATTTAAAGACGTATTCCCCTGCGTATTATATTCTTGGGACTCTTCCTTTATGCAGACTAAAGAAAAGACTATTTCAAAGTACCATCCCAAGGATACTACTCTTTAAAAATCATCAACAGCGCCAGGGGAGGCGCCTCGCACACAGAAAAACACTTGCCAGGAGTTTGACATGAGCGTTCAAAGGGAGAAATAAGCCGCCTTAGTCTCAAAGTGCCGGACCTACGGAGAACAGGGACGGAATGTCTCAGGGCTTAGGTTTTGGGGGCGGCGCCGGAAGTCTGAGCCCAACAGGAGGCAACACCCCGGCCGATCAGCCCCTGCCTGGCGCCTGACCTTGGCCGGACCCTGGGAACGGCCGGGACAGGGGCAAACCCCAGACGCCCACCCCGTCCCTGCGCTATTAGGGCTCCCGGGGGAGCTCTGCCGGGCTGTGGAGCCTCCT